AAATCGTTGTTTACGAAAACGTGCTTACTACAACCCTTTGTACAAAGTTTAGTCTTAGCCAGTAATTACTACGGTCGTGTGCGAGTTAGGCTAAGTTACGTTCTAAATGAGGGAAATTCTAAGTTGTGTCGATAATGTATTGATGTGTCGATACGTGTTGATAAATGGCAAAATGTGTGCAGTGCAAAAAATCCCAAAAAAATCTCCCATTTGGTTTAGCATCAACTTAGCCTAACTCGCACGCGACCAACATAGCAACAACAATCCAACCTCCACCTTGGAGGAGGTTTGTTTTCAATTTCGGCTCATATATATTTGGTGTCTAGTTACTAAGCCATCTATATTCTAATGTGTGTCTTTTGGTTGATTGCTGGAAAAAGGTTTCATATTTTGTCCTTTACGGTTTAATGGCTTTAATTCACTCATTTTGCTTCCCTAAGAGTTGATTATAATGGGTTCAAGTGAAACATTGGAGCTTTCGTTGCTTTTTATCTACCAGAAAAGAAGTATTCAACTTGACATTGACGTATTATAATAAATCGAAACATTAATATATAATATTTATTAATAACTGCTGGAGTTAGCCATTTCAACTATTATAATTAACGAAACATCACAATTTTTTTAAACTTTAGTTTTTATAATAAACAACTGAATTAAATCTGTTACAAGCTTATAAGATCTAGATAATAGATATAAAATTGAGTTCTAATTATTATATCCAATAATCTGTATTATCAACACAATTTCGTTAATTACAATTAGGCCGTGTGCAAATTCGAGTAAATTGAGGTAAAGTAAATTAAAATTTCCTAGGGACTTTATGCACTGCACTTAAGTAAATATTTATTTATTTATTTATTAAATATCTTATAAAATTTTCATAATGGTAACACCTAATTTACTTAATTTTTATCTAATTTACCCTACTCGAAATTCTGGTAAATACCAACATTCGCTGCCATACCGACATAACTTACTATTTCCCTCAATTTACCGTCAATTTACTCGAACTCGCACACGGTCTTAAAATTAAAATTATAATAAATGCAATTAATTACAATAAATAAAATTTATTATGATAGCCGTAATTTTTTCTTTCAGAGTTGTAAAAAAACAACATTAAGGTCGTGTGCGAGTTAGGCTAAGTTGCGTTCTAAATGAGGGAAATTCGAAGTTGTGCCGATAATGTAGTGATGTGTCGGTACGTGTTGATAAATGGCTAAATGTGTGCAGTGCAAAAAATCCCAAAAAATTTCCCATTTGGTTTAGCATCAACTTAGTCTAACTCGCACACGTCCTAAGACCAAATTTTTGATTTTGGCTGCAAACTTAATACGTAAAATTTTTTGCATGTAGAACATAACTCTGATGATTTTAAGAGCATTGTTGTTGCTTCATATGTTTTCTTTCGTAAGTTTGGAGTATTTTTTTTGTTACTCTGCAAAAATCTAGTAAAAAACTAATATCACTTAAAACTAATATCAAGTTTTAAGAAAATATACAAAAAACTTATTAACGCATTGAAACGGCAACAATGCTTAATGTTTTGAGTGCGTTTCATTGGGAAAAAACTTCCGTAATTGCGCTCATAAACTATTATCACTCATAACACACTCTCTTCTGCGTGTGGTGTCTGTTGAGTTTATTTATGTTCCTCCGGTAATTATACACATGCATACGTCATGCAAAGAAAGAAATAATTCACACATGCCAAAATTCGCCGAAACTTTTACAGTGTAAAAATTTGTTTTTGTTTTTTTGCTTGTTTTATGTAGAAACATTTGATAAAAACAAAACACGTTATCGTAAGCAGAAGAAAAAAAAACAATAAAAGTAATAGTAATGCATGTATGTACTCACATACATACAAACAAATCCATCAAAATGTGCTAAAATTCTGTTTGACCACTTTTGCCTTAACAAATCAAAATAAAAGAAAATATTTGTTAAGAAAACGATACGCTGCGTCTGTTTGTTTTTACTCTACTTATATTTGTGTGTATGTGTGTGTAGGGTATTATACGGCCATTTCGTACGTATGCAGATACGCAATAGCAAAAGTTTATTTTTAAACAATTTGGTGGTTAATATTAGAAACATTTATATGCGTTTTTATTTTTTAAAATTAATTTTTAATTTATTGGTATTAAATTTTATATTATATAAATTAAATATTTTAGACATACATACATACATACTCATGTTCTGCATACGTCATTAAACATGTTGGAGAAAAGTTTATGTGGTCTTTCATGTCAGGTGTGGATGTGTCCAAATAATTAATAAAATATACACATGCATAAGTATGAGCATATGTACATATATTAGTTTTTTTTTCTTTGATAAAAGTTTTATAGGTGCCTTATACATATAAAGCCCGTTGTGTAAAATAGTTTAGATTAATATTTTGCAGTGTATATAAATTGGGTTATTTAACATCTTGTAACCGATAATTTTGTTAAGCTTATAACCTATTCACACGGCACAAGAGAATCCTGATTTATTACTGATTATAATTAAATCCAATATGAACGCAAGTTTTGACTAATATCTTACAGTGTTTTTAAATTGGATTATTTAATGTCAAATTACCGATAAAATTATAAAAGCTTCGGCCTATTCACACGGCACAAATGTGTCATTATATTTTCATTAAAATTAAGCTGTTATTCTTGTGCATGTGCACTACAGATCCATTGAGGTCCTAGTGTTTTCTGATTTTTATTAAGAATAATGCTGTTATTATTCTTTTCATACCTATGCATATTTCTTCTTTTTATGCCTTCAGACAATATCTTTCAAGTGTCAGGCATAGACGCTGATACAATGCCGCTGATTAACAAATACAAACTGAAGAAATGCTGTGTGAATGTCGATTTAATCATTATACTGGTATCAAGATTTACTTTTGCCATGTCAGTTTTTAAATATATTTAAATTTACCAATAAAAATATCCCCGTTAATAAAATCAAAGCATACAAACTGTTATATACAATTTGGATATACTCTAAATATTCAACAAATATATATAAAATTACAATAAAATTTATTTTGCATTTATACACTTAACAATTAGCGACTCCCAATTATGATCTTTTCAAACAGACACGTTAAGCCGGTTTAACTCCGCGAGGCACGCTGAAGTGCTCAAACTTCTTATCAAATACGTTTCACTAAGGTCTATTTAAAAAGGCGTTTAGTTATAATTAGAGAAGTGTTTTTAAAAACAATTTTAAATTAAATTCTTCAAAATTAAATTATTAAAAATTAAATAAATTATTTCAACTAATATATGCAATATTCTTATTTTATTTAATTCTAAAAAATTTATGATTCTATACAATTATTGTTTCTATTTAAAATTGATTTCTAACTTTAATTTATTGTCAAGTCAGCATTCTCATAATTTAAATCAAATAGTGGTCAATTATGATGTTTTAACTCAATTATTTCACACACTTTGTATTGTAAATATGATTAATTACTATACAATTAGCGAAATAATTTTTAAAATGCCTTAACTAAGATATCCATATTTTAAATATGGATATTTTTTTTCCTATAACAGAAAATATGGGTATTTTTTCACTTACACCTTAACTGTGATTTTATGTATTAAATCACTTCTAAGAAGATTTAGAATAATTTGAAGTGAATCTTAAAAAGTTATAATTATAAATATTAATCTAGTATAAATGTTTTAAAGAGTTAATTATAATTATCATCTATTAATAGTATCATAATATTAGTATCACACTAATTTTAGTGCCATATTAGTAGCATATTATTATAAAATGTTTAGTTGAATAAAAAATAATATATTTTGGTTTTAAATAGGTTAAGTTAGCTACAGTAAATGAGAACATTATTATAGTTTAGAACACCTATTCATTGCATAAGCATAAGTACAATTAAAATAAGAAAACCATACATACATTTATAAAGTATTGAAAATCATTAAAGTGTGTTTAAATGCGCAAATATCTTAAATATATATATATAAAAATATTTATTTCCCTGCAAAATTATTTATTTATAAATTTTTTTATTACGTAAATAAAATTTTTAGTTTCAAATCGAACTAAATTTTAACCTCTTAAATATTGTCAGAGAGATTACCGATTTCTATACTATACATACATGCGTGTAGGGTTTATAATTTATTCATTAATTCGTATACATATAAATATGTGTATTAATTGTATTATATTTTATTACATTACATATTTACACAAATATTTACAAAATATCCATAAAGACTGAAACTACATCCAAACCAGAAATGTGTGTAAACATTTCATGTCCATAATTGCCCTCCTAAAATAGCAATCGATAACACAAGCGGTGAAATTATCCTTTTAATACACATTCAGTTCAAGTAAAAACAATATACACGGAAACTCAAAGAGCTACACTCAGAAAAATCTGCTGATTTTTAAACGCAATTAGTATACAACTCTTGAGGAGCCGGCTTTTATTGTAGCCCGGGCTACGTGACACTTTTTCCTCTTTAGCATAAATGTGAAACACATGATTTCATATCTCATAAAATATTTGTATGTATGCACAAGTTGTTTGATTGCTTAAAAAAAATGTAACAAAACTGTACGACTTTGTGTTATACCCTAAGTAATGTTAAACAATATATGTATGTTTTACTAAATAATTTATGGAAATTTACTAAGTTTATTTGTATAGTAATATCATTTAATTTCATAAATTATTTATACCAAAATAAAATTAAAAAAATATAAGTGCACAACACAAACATTCTGAACCACCGACAGACTCCAATTAGTTTCTGTATAACCAGATGTAGCGTGCTTTTTGGAAAAGTTGGAATACAACGCGTGTGTGCGCGCTATTGTAGTTGTTTTTGCAAACCATATTCCGTTTTGTTGCTGTTTTCTTTGTTTTTGTTGGCGTTTTATACTCTTTTTGTCGGAATTTTAGCAACAAAAAACACCTTCTTTTGGTTATATTTTTCTGGCTTGCTCAGTTGAAGTTGTGCTCTCTTATTGTTTGGTTGGTGCGGTGGAAGCTTGAAAGTTCTTTTATTATTTAACAATAATTTTGAAAAAAAAATTTTAATTTTAAAAAAATTTTAAAATTTTGCATTTCCTCAAAAAACGCAGCTGAAATATAATTTTTAATAATTTTATATATTTTATTTAAAACGAAACAAACATGTGCAACATTAGGGTAAGTCTTAATTCTGACATATTAAAGTGAACATACATACATACATTCATACTAATTTTTTTCTTTGCATAAATTTAAACTGCTTAAATCATTATTACGCATTAATTAATTAGAACAATTAAATTCTTTTGTTTTTAGCACTTTTAAGCAATAAAAATTAAAAATATAATTTTATATTAAAAAAAAGTTGCTTCCAAAATTGTCGCCGTTTGTGTGCGTGTATATGACAAATACTGTGTATGTGTTTGTGTAAAGTTGGTACATAAAATTTTTTTCTACTTCAGAATTTATGCCTTAAAAAAGATTTGAAGAAATTATGTAATCAATATAATATTATAATATAAATAAATAATTATCAACATATGACTGCCTTATGTAATAAATAATTTTGTAAAAAACCGATAATTCTTTTGCCGGTTTTAGGTTTTTTTTTTGTCTGCTTAGAGCGACTTTTGAGACTCGCAAATTGCATTAAATTTCTGCTGCAACGAATTCGCTGCACTCGATGCGCGCGACTTGTGTAAATATTTGAATTGCGAGTTTGTGTTGCTTTTGTCTCAAGTTTCTTCATCTCAAAACCGTAGAAAAGTGAAATTCGGAACAAATCGGTCAGTCGAAGGAAAATAATTATTCTTAATTTTTTTTTTATTGTACATGTCGCGTGTTAACTTAACGACTTAAGTATAGTTTCGTTCTGTGCTTTTTTTCTGTATTGTGTAACTGTTTCTTGCGTGTTGCATTGTTGCTTAAATAATTATTCTATTTTTCTAAAATAGTTATATTATTAATAAAAATGTATTAGCAATTATAATGATAGACTAATTGGATGTAATTTATGGGCTACTAAGTAATAAACTAAACACATTTTAAGGTCGCATATATAAGTGTTTCTATAAAAAAAATTTCCTATGATATTGCGTAGATCCATTCCTACGTTTTATAAACAGTGTATTCCATATCAATGTGTCTTGAATGCGGAAAATGGTATCAGAAAAGGACTCCTCCCCAAAAATTTATCAAAATACGTAGAGAAATATATAAAAAATAGGATCAAAATAAAAATTAAAATCTGAAAAATTGACTTCAAATTTTTTTTTCGTGTTTAAAGATATTACCTCTTATGTGCCTATTACACTGAACACCCTGTATATATTTTTAGTTAATTAAATGTAATCAATTTATATAATCCTCTATATAATTTTCATCGGAGTAATAGATGAATTCTAAATAATAAACTTTTAAATTAGTTTTTTAAAAGATATATATTGTATTTACATCGATATTTCGACAATAATGTATAAACTTTCTCACGTTTAAAAATATATAACTAATATTTGAGCATTATATAATCGTCTGTAACCTATTGCTGTTATATAAAGTGAAAAATAAAATTTATAATAAATTAATTTTAATTCTCTTCACATAAAATAATTAATTATTTTTAATAAAATGCGTACGATCAAATTTAGTGAATTATTAATTGAGTTATACAGACGTTGCTCTATAATCAGTAAAGTGATAAAATGATAAACCTCTAAACGGTCCTTTTCAATTGGTGAATTTTAGTATGTGAAAGTTAAAGTGCTTAAAAAAGAAAATAAAGATAAATTTTGTTTTAGATAAACATCTTAGATTTCTAAGTACTAAGCTTCTATATTTGAACTCTGCTCTCTAGGTCACTAGTGGAAGATTGGTTTTAAGTGATTATAACCGAATGACGACCTAAAGGAAATACATAAACAGTTGACGAAACATTATATGACGAAGCGGGATAGGGAAGCTAATATGGATATGGGAAGTAGCAAATATGAAAGGTGAAATTTTTACATGAAAACCACCAACAATCATTAGATTTGTTTTCTGGCGTGTGTACTCGCCTTTGTGTACTTAATGTAATAATTGCATAGAACATACTAGAAGGAGTGTTAAGTTTTTACTAGTGTAATCTGAGGAAAAACTTACACATTTAAATATTAATATCTCAATTAAATATAAATTATCGACAAGAAAAAAGTTGCTAAAAAAAAATGATTAAGAAATTGTGGGTTTATTAAATATACTTAATATTAATAAGTGAACAGGTGAGAGAATGACTATTGAGTATTACAATATGCAGTACCTATATTTATATCTGAATCAATCGACGTTATATCTGAAACGAAAATCGAACATTTTAAATATTAAATGACATATAAAAAAATTCAATATTAGCGAATATATGCCTTTAAAGCTGTTTTTTGACTGATAAATTATTTAAAGTAGGATATGAAGTCTCCTATATCTGATGTCATTTATATACTAGCTAGTTCTACAACAATAATTCTACGATTTTCAATAATATCGGTAAAACTCGGGACACACATTAGATAAGCGTTTACTTTATTATCATACATTATCGTCTCTACACTTCTGAGTGAAATAGTAGTAATTTTAGTATCTGCAAAAATATAGACATTGCTCTACAATGGCATGTCACGTCACCATGATTTATGGATGGCGATTAAGACATCGTTCTAGTCCAATCTGACATAATTGTCACTCAGACCGAAAATGTTCTACTCTGCATTGAATTCCTAGTTTCGAGCTTTGAAAATTCCAATCTTGTCTATCAGGGATTAAAGTCTTATATGTATTGTGAATTTTTTTACATAATACTTTTATTGGTATTATTATTTATATTCATATTATCTTTATTAAAAAAATTATTTTTTATAAATATTATTAATTTTTAATAATATTGTTCTTTTTATTAATAATAATATTTTTATAAATATTATTATTTTTATAAATATTATTAATTTTTAAAAATTATTATTTTATTTTTAATATTATAATTTTTATTAATATTATTATTTTTATTAATATATGCTATTTTTATTAATAATAATATTTTTACTAATATAATTATTTTTGTTATTATTATTATTATTTTTATAATAATTATTTTCATTAATATTATTAGTTTTATTATAGTAATTTTTACTGCAAATATTAGTTTTATTAATATTTTGCTGCAAATATTAGTTTTATTAATATATTTTCATTAATAATATTTTTACTAATATAATTATTTTTGTCAATATTATTATTTTTATAAATATTTTATTTTCAATAATATTATTAGTTTTATTATAGTAATTTTTGCTCCAAATATTAGTTTTATTAATATTTTGATTCATATTAGTACTGTTAATGAAAGCTACTGTTATTCAAATTCTATATGTAATATTCTATATGTAATATATTTTATTATATTAAAATAAATCAAATATTGAATTAATAGTATAATATAATTCATTAAATTGATTAAATTAAATATTTAATAGAATAAATTAAATGAATATTCTATTAAATTCTATTAAACCGACCCTGCAATTTCTAAGTCCAGTTGTCATGTTCCTCATTGCAAAAATATTATTTTTATTATAATATTTATATAACAAATGTAATAATATTAATATATAAATAAATAATATATTAAAAAATTAATTATTATTATTAATAATAATAATAAGCTTTTGTATTAAAGGTCTTCAGCTAAGAAAAATATTTATTTTTTATATTTTTGTATTTTTTTTTATTTTTGAATTTTTTTTATTTATATTGTTCATGGATTTGATAAATTACTTCCTCCAAACTCTAGAGCATAGTATGGGTTGCGATCCCCAAGTTCTTTATTTTTACTATTTAGGGGTAGCAGAGCTTAGAACTTTAATTATCGCTAGTCTTGAGTGTACTATGAGATATGAGAACTACAAAAAATAAGTGGTATTACTGCAGTACATGGCTGTAGTAATCCAAGGTAGAATTTATTACCAAACTGAAGTTTCAACATTCTATGAAATATTTGAATTATTAATCTTATATGATTGCTTTTATGGTCTATTGATATTCATTATTACTTAATTTTTATAGTCTTTACATTAAATTTTTTATTAAAAAAAACACAATGTTAATTAATATTATTTGTTTTTCATTAAATCAAACTATATCATTATTACAATACTAATAAGAAACTAGTTTTTAATTATTAGTTACTAATAAAAAATTAAGAATGAATACAGACAATAGTTAAAATATCGGTTTAATAAAATTAAAATTTTGTGTTAATTAAATTAAATATAATAAATAAAAGTATTGTAAGGAAGCCATGGTTCACACTGGACTGTGGGGCCAAATAGGAAGAAGATATAGGTATTGCATAGAACAGAAAGTTAAAATAATATAAAAATATTTTTTTATCTCATTTGCTATTATTTTTTATTCTTAATAAGAATATTATCTAACGTTAAATTTCTCTTATTTTTAAAAATAAATCGTTGTTCCAATAGTTATTTTAATTAAAATACATGATTTTTAAAAATATGGTTTTTAGTCTAGAAACCAAAAAAAATTATTAAAATTTTTAATTAAACTTGAACTCGTTTAGCTATTTTTTATATTAATTATTAATTTAATAACTGTATTGAATAATAAATAATATTTTTAAGGTTCAGTAAAAGTTTCCTATAGATATGTCTAGAACTCTATACTGTAATATCAGACGTAAGGTTGAAATCATTTCGTTTCAACACTTCTTATTCACATGGGCGTACACAGGAAGGAAAAGGGGGCTGCGCTACCGTAGATTTTAATATTTTATTGTTTTGGATAAAAATTAAATATTGTTTAAAATGTGTAAAATTCGCCTATGAAATCATTTACTAACTTACATACATATATTTGACATGCATATATATGACATACATACATTCGACATACATATATTTCTTAAATAATAATTTTTCGATTTTATACTTGCATAAAGTATATGATAATGTCATATCAGCATACCAGTACCCCCTAATTTTGGCTCTGGGTATGTATTCTTTAACTCCATATAGGTGTAATATGTATTTGAATTAAAGAAAGAACTAACTACTATACCCTATCTCATACTAAATTTATTAACTTGTTGCCTATAAAAATATAGCTTATAACTTAGTTTGATTACCTTCTCTTTTGTGTGCGTTTATTCTATATCTACCTATAGGTATGGAATAAACTGTAAACTGATTGATTACCCTTGTAAACTGTAACAAAAGATCAATAGTATGTAATAATAGTGGTAATTATACTTCAGTCTTCCGAAATTGTCTTACAAATATTTTTACCTCATTAGGTCTCTCAGTTATTTTATATAAATATCTTAACAAATTTATTAGATTTATTAAATTTATATAAATTTTATCTGTTAAATATTTTTAAAGTTCTAATAAGCCTTTGTTTTTTTATTCCTGAAATGTATAGTCATGCAATGTAAAACTTCAAGTACAAATCGTACTAAAATTGCAAATGCATCACATATTTTACAGTTTTTTTATATAGAAATGTTGTTTAATATTTTTTATTGCATCAAAAAGGAATTAATTATTTTATAGCTCATTCGTCATTTATACGTTCTTTTGTTTATAACTGTAATGTATTGAAATCACTTCTCCTCTTTCATTCTCAAAAGCATTTCAACCTTTTGATATGAACGTGAATTTTCTAAAACCTGAAATTGAATGTCCATAAAGTTGTATTTCACATACCCCTTTCTGAGATACTCACTCTACGTGTGGGGCTTGTTAATTGTTTTCAAAAAACACGTAGAACTTGTTCAACTTTTCTTGTTAGGAGAACTGCAAAATTAAAAAAATGCAGTTATTTTGTTTTTATTGATAAAACTGCGGTCCAAATATACACAAGAATATCTTTATTAACATCTATTTTTCTTCTATTTTTATACTTTGTTTTTTTGTTATTGTTTTTTTATAACAATAACAGAAATACTTAACCATTGATAAGATAAAATAAATATTTTTGCAACTCCAGCGAAAAAGTACTTAAGTGTTTGGCTAACAAGTTTAAGGCCATAAAAGCCCCGCATTGTAGGTAAGACCCACTCACATACAAATTTAACATACGATACCTCTCCATATTTACAAAGTCGGAATCTATTTAATATCGGATAATTGATGGGAATAAAAATTGGTTAGAGTTCATTTTTTTATTCTAATAAAATTTATAACTATATAAGTATTGCAGTAAAAATATTAATAAAGTAGCGCCTAATAAAAATCGTTGAGAATTTATTGTTTATATTTATCAGATCAAAAGAATTAATAGGTGTCTATTTATTATGGAATTTTTATTGGTAAATATATTGCGCATTTTGTATAAAAACTTTAACTTAAAAAATTTATTCGAAAATTTATGAAGACAAAAATGATCAATCAAAAAACAACCCATCAATCCATTTTCTGTTCCTGTACTATTTAGAATAGAAACACACAAATTAATTAGAGTGGATTTATATTATTTAATGCAAAAATATCTAACTTGTAACTAAAAGATAAATGTATAATAATTCTTACATAATATCAAGTTTGTGAATAATATAGAATATTATATGATTCTAAAATATTGTTCCTGGTATCAAAAAAATGAAGCCCTGCCCTTCATAAAAATAACTCAATAATAATAAAAAATAAACTTTATTTCTTCTTGGATATGCAACCGACTGAAGTCCTTTAATAATGTGAGAGGATGTTTTTGTGGTAAAGATAAAAGAACCCTGGTAAATAGATATAAAACTATAAAATGTCCTATTGCGTTCATGTTGCTCCAGGAGTTAACCACAAAGCTCTGCGAAATGCTCAGCACTAGGGATTCTAATGTTATTATTGTAACCCACTAGGATTTGCTTGCAAAATTTCTTTGGGGTAGCTCTGGGACGTAGACCCGGTCGTTCAGAGATTCTAATCGGTTGGTATCGCATGTTTACAAATTTCATACAAAATCTAAAGTTTCTTGTGACAGTAAAATCAACTATTTTCCACGCAATATCTACTCGCGTGTCACAGAAATGGGTATCCCAATGGCAACGTGATCAGTAAAGGCCTTCCTCTACAATGTATCCGCCAATCTGTTACTTTGCATCAGAAATGCATCAACACATATCGCAGTGCTGGTAAAATCATTGTCACACAGTTGTGGTATACAATTGTGGTATCCTCTTCCTGACCAGCAATCGTGCTCTAATATATTTTTGATTTATTTACCAGTAACCCTATCTAGTCATTTGTCAAATATTTACCAAAAGGGTTTTGTAAACTAGATCTAGCTGGACATATAAATAACTACGATTGTTATTCTAGTCCAACGGGATCTATAAAGCATATAACATGAAAGGAATTACAAAGTCGGATATATGGGTTAGAATGTGGATAGATAATGGCAGCACGTTATACCACCTACGGTCGCAGTACTCTGCCCATTATATTTTATATGTCTTCACTGTTAAATTACTAGTCACATTTGAGAATTCTAGATTACAAGCCTTCAACTCAATGTGTTATCTATTATTGCAGTAAGAGGCATCTATTTAAAATGTTGAATTTTTTCACCTATACCACACTGGACAAGTGTGAGGAAGTAATATAAATAAAAACAAAATGTTTGTAAAATTGAAATTTAAATAAATAAATAAAATACATTGAATGTGAATATTTATTATTAAGCGAAAAAAGCCATAAAATTTATTAACGAACGAAATATCTGGTTTCTGTTTATCTGTTTTAGTCTTTTTCTTGGTATGTGTTATTTAAATAAAACATCTTTTTTATTTAATTAAATATTTCTTAGTGAAAATGTAAACAAATAACAATATTGTATGTATCAATTTAATTATCGTGGCATTAACACAAACGAAAAATAAATCCACAAAATATTAATTTTTATAGTTAAATCTCCTCACTAGTACCCCCTCTTCTATACCAAATATACACTATGTTGTGGACATAAAAATTTTAATAATAAATATTTTATTTTTTTATTTTGCAGAATGCATCATCGGCTCTACAAAAATTATTCGTTTTTGGCGCTTTGAAATATGGACAACCCAGTCATTCCATTTTGGCAAGCTCTGGTAATGGATATGCCAAATTTTGGTGCCGTGCCACAACCGCTGAAAAGCTACCTCTTGTGATTGCCACACGCTACAACATTCCATTTTTGTTGAACAAACCCGGCGTTGGCTATTATGTCACTGGTGAAATTTACGAAGTTGACAATAAAATGCTGGACAGTCTAGATAGTCTAGAAGATTGTCAGGATATATTTACACGTGAAATGCATGACATGAACATTGGTGTCGGAGAAGGGTAAGCTTATAAATTTATAATACATATAATTGTGCATTAAAATGTTTTCTCATTTTTAGTACTGTTCCTTGCTGGGTCTACTTATTGCATAAATATCCAGAAAAATTACTTTCTTTACCGTACTTGGCTCGTTATGAGAATACACCTGCTCAGCCTTATGTATTGAGAAATCGCCGATCACATAAACATCCTGCACAGGAAGATCTCTCATATACAGACACTGCCTCCGTTTAACGGAAACCATTCAAAGAAACATCAACTAAGAGAACTACTAACTTTGGCTTCCAGTTATTATTGCATTTAAATAAAAATCATTTTGTATATATAAAGATTTGACATTATTGTCATATAAAAGAAATTTTAAATAAGTTAAATTATGTAATAGTTTAAAACATAAAATAAAAAAAATGTTAAAAATTTAATACATATATATTTTTTATATTTTGTTTATAAGACAAGTACAAAATTATTTGGGTAATTTTAAGCTAATATGAATAGTCAGTCAAGGTAATTGTAGACGTAAAAAAACTAATATATATATATAAAAATATGTTATTTTTTTATATAACAATAAGTGAGATCATATTTAATATAGGCATATTTCAAATCAGATTTAAACCTTGAAAGGTTTGTTTCATTCAGGTTGTTATTGTTTTGTAGCCTGTGTGGATCTGCTTGTAAAAACCCTTTGGGGGTGGCGAACGGCACTTGGTCGCCGAGAGTGTCGAATGACTACGAGAAGTAGACCCGACCGTTCTTGAAACCGTTTAATTTACGTGATTTTTACTTATATATGTAAGCAAGCATATTTTGAATAAGTACTAAATCTTTTTTATTGTTGATTCATGGATTAAATGCAGGACTAAGAACTATAGTTGTGGCAAAGTAATAAGAAATACAATAATTATTTCTATCGATATATGTTAAACATAATCTATAAGAAAAGACATCATTTTACTAACCTCAGCAACACCCTTTACAAGTAACAACAACCAAAACAACTGATTTCTAGATTTCTAGTTTAATAAATCAAATTATGATTTAGTACATTCATTAGATCGTTGTGATGATCTAACCTAGCCCAAAATTAATTTACAATGTATCCCCTTAACGCAAATTCTCACTTCGCACCGTACAACACCAATTACATGTCATGTCATTTTGGCTGAAAACCATTAAAACCCAGGTGGGCAATCGACTATAAACAGTGTCAGTCTGTAACTAGACTTATTACCTGGAAGCAGAAACAAATTACAGACATCGTGTAATTCCTTAGCGTAGATCACAAATGTGATTAGGAAAAATTTTACAAACGATAAAGTATTCTCTGGTTATAGTATGTAGTATTTTTTTCCAGATTACCTTTTTCTTCAACATATTGAAGACACATTTGTTTTTAGTTTACAAAAACTATTAACATATCACGAAATGGTTATCATATCTGATATCAAATTTTTTCCAAACTGTCTGCCAAAACATGTGTTTGTATTTAAAAGAAAGTTTTGTTAATAAGCAAAAAATGAGCAAATGAAACGTCTAATTTGCAATCTAATACAGTTATCATATAAAAGATTAGATTAATATACATAAGTAAATTAATGTGGATCTAGTAATAACTGGTTAGTAGTATTAATTTTCTCACATGTCAAGTGATTAAATATTGTTTTAATAGAAGTATGAAGTACTTGTTTTATTAATTTTTTTGTAATAATTATTATAAATATACATTTTGTAAATAATATAAATATATTATATGTAGAAAATTTTAAATTAAAATCCGATTACTTTTTTCTTTTGTTTGCATCACTAACGTTATTATAAATTAAACTTATAATTAGTAACAGAAAGCAACACTCAAACAGTTGTCTGGATAATGAAAAGGATGCTGTACAATGTTTTTGTTTATGGAACGTTAAAACGTGGAGAGCCCAATCATCATTGGTTTCGTCCGGAAAACGGATTTTCACGTTTTATAGCTGCTGGCTCGACAACACAAAAATTTCCATTAATTGTTGGCACTCGTTATAATATACCATTTTTACTTGATCGACCCGGTATTGGACATAATATAAAAGGTGAAATCTATGAAATCGATGAGGCAATGCTGGGTAAACTCGATGAGTTGGAAGGATATCCACAATATTACGATCGAGAAATACAAAACATAACCGTGGAGAACGAGTAAGTGAATTTTTAGCCAGTGTTGAGGTGACCAAATGTTCACAATTTAAAAAATTATTTATTTAATTTATTATGCATAAATAAATTAATGAATAATTACTAGTTATTAACAATTACATAAATTAATATATTAATTTATGAATAATTACTAGTTATTAACAGTTTCAGTTTATTCAGTCAAGCGATACTTTTTTTGTTAAAATTTAGAAAGTTTAACAAATCGGTAGTAGAGTTAATATATGTACAATGCTTGTGTATAAATGAATTAGTTTACACACTTTTGAAATAAATTTTAAATAGTAAAACTATTATAAATTAATATATATGAATTAATTCTATTATAAATAAATATACATAAATTTTTTTGCTTCGTGGCTTTGAGAAAAATTAAATATCGGTTGAAAGCGAAATAATTAAATCTTTCAATTGGTATTTTAAGTTTCATATATATAGAGTAATTATATATTTTAATACTGTGGACTTTATTTTTATAACTTTTTAATATGTTTATAAACAAATATATGTTTATAAACAAAATATATGCAAAAAAAAATTTTATTTATAAGCTGTTACAAACTAATTCATATTAGATGATGCATAATAAAATAGCATCTGTATGTAATATTAGCCGATCAAAATTAACAAAGCGCTTTCAAAGATAAACTTAATTTTTACAATAAAATATCACTTAATCACTTATTCATACTAATATCACTTTACTACATTCTCTGGTAATATTCTTTCCTATTCATCAAAAACTTATTATTTTCAGATCAATGCAATGCTGGTTATACTTGTTGCGGAAGTTCCCGGAAAAAATATTGGAAAAAACACTTCTGGAAGCATATCATAACACACCGGAGCAGCCATATTGCGAAAGGTGTAATAGAGATCCAAATGTTAAAGCCATTGAAGATTTATTGTACTAGGATTTACATAACAATTAAAAGACAGCTTCCAGTTATTTTCATTGCCATCCTCAAAAATCGATCAATTTAAGTTCATTGCAAATTTATCAAATCGCATACACATCGCGTAATCATTTTGCATATCATAACACACATACATATTTTTCAAATATAAATGTACGAAATTATAAAACATTTTTTTTTATTTATCGTAGCTATGTGGACAGTACTATTGATGATATATTTGATTCCGATGACTTGAAACAACAATCCAATTAATGAAAAAAACTAACTTACATTCCACATATACTGTTTTTTTATGTTTTATTTAAATGCAAATACAATATTACAACTGAGAAAATTAAAAAAATTTTTTATTTATGCTAATGCTTGTTTATTTCCCTACTTACAAGTAAATTGGGGGAATTGGCTTGAAGATTAGCGCATGTTCAATATCATAACAAGTTTCACTATAGAACGGAAAATCATGCCGTTTTATTAATATATATTGTGCCAATACTATTTATTTTTTTTTACAGAAAATGCGCTTGAGGAACAACAAACATATACTGAAATAAATTATATAAACTAAATAAAATCAGTATAAAAAAAATGCAGATTTAGAATTTTATACAGGCTACCCGAACGATTTAAATTAAATTGAATACGTCATATGATTGACAGTGCTTCAGTCAGCAAATAATAAAACTGACTCTAGCTGTCATCCTCATCGAGTGATTGAAATCTATTTGACGCATTTGCTGGTGCAACTGTTTGTTGCTCCTGTATGCGTTGAACACGTCCACCATGTCTAACCTCTTCGAACGCAGGTTCGTTTTTCTTTTTCCGCTGCTCTTCGGGACGTGCAGCACCTAATGTGGGGAAGAAATCAGCATTTGTTATATCTGGTGCAGCTTTACTGCGTGCCTTAATTTTGGGAGGCTGCAAATTAACAGTTTTCAATAAAATAAAACTAACATTGTAATATATATATAGAACTCACTCCTTGTCTAAAAGCAACAGACACATAAAGTTTGTTTGCAGGTTTCTGTACTTCCATTGGAATTTGCAATACTTCTTCCGCGGGTATAACCTTTTTCCATGGCCCTCCAGTGTGACGTTTAGATGATTCGTTATTGGAATTTTGATCACTATCCCCTTCGTCATCATCACCATCACTTACGCTATGCTCCTCATCTTCATTAATTGTCAGTTGGCCAATTTTTAGACCTGTGTAATCTTTACGCGTTTCCTCCTCAAATTCTTTCCATTCTTCTTCGTTGGTTGGCTAATATTTAAACAGAACAGAAATTACTTTATATATCTATTTTATGGGTGTGGTATATTTACTTCTTCAACCTGTTCCTTTGAATTGTTTTCATCTAAATTACCAGCCACTGGCGGCAATATTTCTGGTTTGCGAGGTTTCAACGATACTTCACGCTTAGACGTGTCCTCTAGGTTCTTGACGACATCGTCAGCCGTAGTGAATTTTTTTGCTTTCGACTTTTTCTTGTCTTTCTTTGCAAAAAAATCATCTAAATCAGCCATGATGTGATTAATTGGTCTGCATAAATACAACAATAAGGTAAACAATTAATTTTAATATCAAAAACTTCAAACGTTCCGCAGAATTACATGCGGATGCAAAAACTTACTTTCGACAAAAGGAATGAATTTTATTTTTAATTATTTGGCAAAAGACAAACAGAGATAGCAGATGGTTATATTGGCATTTAAAACAATATTGCCACACTGACACGTTTTAAAAGAATTCACCATATTTTTTTATTTCAACAAATTGTTACGATATTAACAAACTAAAATTTTAAAATAAAATAAAAAGTTTTTCAACTATTTTTATTGAATTTTCTGACATAAAATTTATTTACGTAAAAGACGAAAACAAAGTTTTCGTTGAATTAGAAATAAAATTGTGTATGTGAAATCATACTACTAAATTCCTTTTTGCCGGGTTTTGAAAAACTTTTGGTTTTATATTATCTTAAATAATATAAAAATATGTAAATAAACGATTTGATTTTATTAGTTAATTTCAAAATAAAATTATACACCGACCTAAACTTGGCTAAAAAACAAATGCTTATAAACAATTACGATCGATATCAATATATACACATCAACATTATTTTTATAAACTATTAATGAAACATTTTTACAAAATTAATTTAAAGGCTTGCACAATATCAGAATAATAGTATTATATATATAAAACTAAACAATTTTTTGCCGAAATGTAGTTATTTAATGAATTTAATTTAATATAAGCCGAGAGCAAGAAATTTAAAACCAAATTATGTTCTTTTAAAGTCAGAATACAATAATTTTTTAAAATAATAATATTGTTGTATATTATAAATACTTACCTTACTAAAATAATAGGCGAATTCAGTTATTCAAACAATAATTACGTTTTAGTAAGAAATCTCTAAAATTTATATATTTTTGAACTCATATAATGCTAACGGCAAAAAAAAATGATTTTCAGTTTTTATTTAAACGCGTGATCTTAATAACTGATCTAATACATTCAATTATTCAGTATTTATATATTTTTGTCTCACAACTACATATAAAATATTTTATTTAACGGGCTACATTAATATATAAAAGTTATACTAACATAACCTTTTATAATTATTTCATAGTCCAAAAATATGTATTGCGATGGTTAACGCCCCTTCGAAAAAAAAAAGTCTATTGTTCTTTACAAACTTGGGTTTCATGTCTATTATTCTTTACGTTGCTATGTTAACGTGATTAGCAAACTCCTCAAATAAAATTTGACAATTTGAAATTGGGTTTCATTTCTATAATTCTTTACATTGCTAGGTTAACGTGATTAGAAAATTTCTCAAATAATTTGACCTTGGTGAACAAAAAATATCCTTATGACATCCTTTATAGCTACTGTTCTAGGTAAACAAAAGTAAGAGTTTATAAACCAAATTCATATGTTTTATAAAAATAGGTCAATGAAGTTGGATAACAACATTCCCTGTATTCGTATATTGTAATATTCTCCTACGTTCAAGCTAAGGCTTGTACTATAATTGTCATTTAATGCAATAAATAACGTTACAAATGATATTATTGTCGAAAATAATATTAAGTAAAATACAATTAAAAAGCAGAAAAGAATTGGGAGCTCATAAGCTTAAACTGATCAAGATGGCCCTCACACAAAAGATGACCCTGTGCTTTTTCTCGAGTGCCGATAACCACGATATATGGGTTTAAACAGAGTAGGCCCAGCTGCTAAAAGGAAATGGAGTCATGTCCTGTCTTATAAAACTTATACTATGTTCAGGCAGCCAAATTTCGTTAATTTCGTAAAAATGAAATTAAGTTACTTTCGAAAATGTTCATACTGCCCCAAATTAAGGAAATCATAAATTTTTTGTTTATAAAACGAATGTTCAAAATTACATGCTCCAAACACAATTTGTATCTGGTAAATTGTGAAAATTGATTATTATAACTACAAACGATGGCATTCAGTAGTGTTATTAGTTTTAGTGGATTTCAGATATGTTAATTATTATCTTTCACTTTATTTTAAATTAATAACAGTTACAGTTTTTCCTCTATATTCAAATTTAAAAAATTGAACAACATTCAAAATATTTTCACAGTTTTATTAAAGTCAACTGTAACTGACATTTACTTTGAAAAAATTTCATTTTTTGTTATCTCAACTTTATCTTTTGCTTAAAATTTATCTTAAGCATAGTTGCATTTAAAATATTCCTTAACTTCAGCCTTCGTTTCAACGAAATTAAGACTATTTTCGTTAATTTCGTTTACCCTTAAAACTGAATTTCGTACGGAAAAAATAAGTTCATTTCGGTGAAACGAAGAATAAATTAAGATTTTTGCGGAATTAAGGTGTGTCTGAACATAGTATTAGAGTGGGATATGCAATTAACGAGTTCCGTGAGATAATTAAATAGCATGTTTGAATAGAATGAAATATATATTGGATATATATTATAATTTATATTTATATTATATATTTTTTGGATATATATATTACTTTTTATTATGTTAATTTGATTAAATATAATAAGTCAATGCTAATTTAAACGTAAATAAATATATGTATGCTTAAATTGATTGCATAAAATAATTATCAAAATATTTTATGATAGTGTTAAATTAATGTAAAGCATAAAATTTACTGTTTAAAAGATATTGTTTATACTAAAGAGTTATGAAACTACAATATAAAAGTATAAATTAATCACTATAAGCATATAAAACCAAACTCTATGAGTAATAAAACAATAATATATCGAACTTTTATGTCAGTGTAAAGCGGTTCTTAACAGCGGCTCACAACAGCGGCTCAAAACATTCTTTCACAACAGCGGCTTTATTATTAAACAATCCGATATGACAGCTGTTTAGTATTTGCTTTTTAAATTAAATTTGTGACATTTTTCTTAAAAACAGTTTTTATTATATTAATATTTTAAAAAATCTAAAAATAATAATAATTTATGTAGTGACAATATATTTATAAAAAATGTAAGTTATTTTAATAGTAGTTTAAATAATGTAAGAAATTTGCACATTTTTTGGTTTCATTGTCTTTAAATAATTCCAAATTAATAAATTATATCTGATTTTCTTTTTGTTCTTTATTAATTTCGAACTTATATTTGACTATATTCGTCTTGGTTATATTTAATATTTATTTGAAGTGCAAAAAAGGTCTATACAAATGTACATGAAATTATATTAATAAAATTAGATGTATATATTAATTAACGGTTATGAGTATTGTGGCTTCTAACGAAACGAGACTCTTTAAGGTCAGACTATTATATTCGATAAATGAAGGTCAATATGTAGTTATTATGCACGTAGGTAAAGGGCAGTGGGGAGTTGGGTGACATGAACGTGTGAAACTAGCTACGGAGATGACAGTTATATTATTATTTTTAAATGGATAATTTTATGCATATGTATAGAACGACAGTTACATTTAAAATTTGTTGGCTTTTTAATTCCAATAAAATTTTATGCTTTTTATTATAAATAAATGCCACATATCCTACTTTAAAAGTAAATGCATTGGTAATTTCTTAATATCTCATTTTAAGAAAAGTTCTAAAATTAATTGATTAAATTTATTTAGTTATTATAAATATCATGTATGCATATGCAAAGTTTTATTGGAAAAATTATTATATATCTTGAATAATCTGAAGTTCTAAAGAAAGTTCTTTATACTTCTTTTTCTTCATTTTCTGTATTGTATTTTTCTTCTCATCCTTGTACCTTTTCTGTTTCACAAGAACGAGTTTAAAATTTTCAACAGTTTTGATAGATGTTTTATATGAGGGTTTGATGAAATCTATAACTCAAACATAAATTGATTATAAGATGAAGAAAGAGGATTGAATGAAGGATGCGGGTATGGTTGAGTTGCTACTCTGATACATTTACTAAATTGGAAATGTAGAGAAGGGGAGAAGTAAATTGATTACGAGAAATGTATTAAACTAGCTCGGTAAGGTTGTTAAAGTGAGGTCACTAAAATAGGGCGGAACTGTGAATTAATAGTGCTATTTTTCATTCCTAGGATTCCGGCAAGGGTGAGTTGTAAATATTTAATTTGTTTCTCTCAGGTGATCTCAAACACTTGACAGTCTTTGTAATCAAAGCTTTTAAGCGATGTGGATTTATAATAATGCAAAGAAACAGACTAACAACTGCATTAACGCGATTTAAATGTTTATTTTTTTGGATTGCATAGTTAACCAAAAAAATTTTTATTCTGCATAAAGTGATAGTGTAGTTAGTTTATATAATAATAAAGAATCAAGAGCCATATAAACAGAAATTGCTAAATTGCATTGCCTTGTTCAGCTAATAAAAAATATATGTATATTTATTATAGATATATTACTTACATGTTATATTTAGTATCGGCTCGGTGATTCGACATTCGATAATCAGGAGCACGCGGTATTTGGGACACAGAACTCCATTATATTGTTGTTTCTGTGATCCGGACAAATTATATTTTAAGTTCCCTTAAAAATTCGAATACTAATCTTTTTTTATATTCATCTCTTTTCTATTGTTATTATTGATATATTCGCTGTCATATAACATGTAATCCATATGCTGTGCTTAACAAAGCATCAAGATGCCGATTTTAGATCCCTGTCCGTCGCCTTTATACTATGGTATACTATACTATAGTTGCTCATTTGCATTATTTCATTCAATACCACTTTTGTCATAGTACGACAATCAGTTTGAATCCAAACCATTACGAAAAAGGACGAAGGTTTTGACAATAAATAAAAAATGAAACTATTATTGAATTAAAAAGCAGAAAATCTATTTGATAGCTTGTTCAAAAATTAGAAAGTCTGTAATTAGTGATATTAGATACAATTAAATAAAAATTAATAAGAAACAAACTAAAACTGCTTGTTATAAATAGAGCGAAAAATCCACAGTCGTTTAAAAGTGAAAAATTAATAGTAAAGTAAACTCATAAATCCTTTTTAAAAATTGGTTTTTACCTTCTTCCATCCTCGATTATATATCTTATCTGAAAAAAATTTACATATTAAAGCACTTATAATATTGGATAATTGATTCGTCTGAGTTGCGAAAATTAGATAAAAACTATGTTGTAAATTTTTTAGATTCTAATTTTTTAATTCAATTACAGTAAGAGTTTTTGAAACGCATCCTGGCCACCAAGGAGATTGATTATATTGTATTGTCATGCATTGTTTGAAAAAATACTATCTTAGAGATACTACATTT